CAGCAGCCCCTTGGTGAGTGGCACGTGGCCGCCTCCTCTCCAGGCTGCCGTTGGACGTGATGCCGGGGGTCAGAGCTCCGCTCTCTGGGTCTGGGGGTGCCCTGGCACGCGGGGGAGCTCAGCAGAGGGTGCGCGGGGCAGGGCGCGAGGGCGAGGTGCCTCCGTCTGGGGACAAGGCGGCTTTTCTCGCTGGGAGGAGAGTTAATGGGTGCGCCCGGGGGCCCAGAGGATTTTTGGATCCTCCATCGTTGGAGGTTTTGACAGAGGCCTGAGCAGCGCGGCCTGACTCCAGAGCTGACCCTGCCTTGAGCCCGAGGTTGGAGCAGAGCTCTCCCGAGGCTCCTCCCGTCTGAATTACTCCATGTCTCTGTGATAAAGGTCTGTGAACCACAAGGGATTACAAGGCTGTTACTTCATTGTCCCTTTTGACTGAAAAATCCGTGGATCTAGGTTGCCTTTTTTTTTTTTTTTTTAAGAGATTGAAGTAATTTAATTTGTTTCAGAAATCACAGATGACTCTTGAATGACTTCTTACGCGTTTGCCTGCTTTCACTTTTAGAGGGGCTGCTGAACGAGGATGTTGCATCTGAAAACATGCTGCAGAGCCTGTATTTCACATTTTACCATTTGTTTTGCAATGTTACAGTTTTGCGGAGTATTTCTTATCTTCTGGCTTACAGAGCTTTACAGGTTCTCCGTACCTTTCACTGCTTGTCACCCAGTCAGTACATCCGTGAGAGCAACGGCCTCTGTGTTTCCAGTCTGTTACACTGCAGTTGCTCTGCTCTGGACACTCTAAGAACTTGTGCCCCCTGAATCTTACTGGCAAGACAGTTTTGTAGTTGTTCTCCATCTTGGCCCTCCTGTAACCGTTCACATACTTCAGCAGTAGAATGTCTTTATAATATATTCTAATTTGCAAAAACTTCCCCATCGCAGTTACCCATCTATGCTGTTAATACATCCCCTGATCTTGAGACTTTTAAAAAAAATTTGTGATAACTTCCGTCATGCTCTGAGTGGCTGAATTCCTGCACACTGGATTAATCCGTGTTCGCTTTGTGTGGGCTTTAGGCTTCTGGTGTGCTAGGAGACAGTGAAAGATTGCTGCTTGTTTTTTGTTCTTCAAACTTCTAATTTTGATCTTAAATCTTAAACTATATATATAGTTTGGACACTGAAAGATCTAGATCTTGCAGATTTGGTGATTTTTTAAAATTTTTTTTTATATTCAGGAAGTCTTGGCGTTGTGTGTGTTTCGTCTCAGTAGAGACATTCAGTATGGTGCTAAATTCGTGACTTTTTTTTGGCCAGCTATATGAAACAGGGTTAACATTGATTAGAAAAAGGGATAACTGCCAGCCTTCAGAGAGACATTTACTTAAGTTTTCGCTCTTAGTTCCAGTAACAGTTTTGAAATTAATTGGCTTTCCATTTCCAGTGTCACAAAGGGATCTGTTGTGCAGTCTTGCTTTGTGAATTTGGCTCTTGGACTTGGGAGTTGAAGTACCCAGACACAAAACACTGAACTGAAAATGATGTGTTGTGTTAGATACAGTGTTTTCAGCCTGATCAGTTCTTGATTGCATCAGGTTGCCACATTTTAAAGTCATGTTAACTGAAGTCCTAGTAGAGATGAGAGCAAACTTGGGCTGGTTGGTAGTTTTTGAGAAGCTCTGCTAGGGTAAGTGGGAAGCCCATTTCCTCTGCGCTTTTCAGTGCTTATTCCCGGAGAGGGTCCCGTCCCCGAGCAGCAGCTGAGGGACCGGGGTGTGTTTATTTCCCTGGCAGTGCTGGTCTCTGCCCTGGCGTGGCGCGAGGCAGCGGCAGCGCCTGCCAGGCTGGCTGCAGGCTTGGTGAGCAGGCGGCGTGTCTGGGGGGCGCACACTGCGGGGGGCTCAGCCAGCACGGTCCAGTGTCGCAGGGCTGGTGGGGAGGCTGGAACCGAACGAGCAACAAGAAGGCTTTGCTAGTGAGACGTGGTGGCTTACCTGGATTCTGCTTAACCTTTTTTTTTTTTTTTTCCCCCAGTATAAAATCTTAGTTCTTGCACAGGGATGCTGTAATTCTGCATTTGCTTTTTGTGACCTCCACTGATGACTTGTGACTAGTTTCAGTTTTTGTCATATTGAAATATTTTATTGAAGTCCAGCTTAACTGAACCTTAAGAAGTGGGATGTACTACTCTTGTTGCCTTGCTGTTTCTGAATGGAATTTTTTTGCACAGGTCTGATAATCTGTCGGCACTGAGAGGTTTTGGAGTTTTTTGTTTACCTTTTTTTAAAAAAAGTTGGTGGTGAGAAAATGGTGTTCAACTGATATGAAAAAGTATCATACAAAGCAAGGTATTTTGGAACATTATATTTCGTAGCTGTCTCCCTGAAGAACAGTTAATCGGATGGGAAGAATCGTGGGATTGTCACAACAGCCTAATTCCGAGGCTCGGTCTGCACTTGGCTTCCCAGGCCAGTGTGGGTTCTGAATATTTTCAGTGAGGCAGTTATGCCAGTAGAAGTCCTGTCACGCAGTTTGGCTCTGTCAAATTGCAAAAACCTGCATGGATACAGCGGCTGTGTCGGAGAAGTGCTGCGGTGTTTTGATTTTGAAGGCCTAGCTAAGAACAGAAAACCTGACCCTAGGCAGAGCTGAGGTCAGTGCTCCCTGCTGCCAGCTTGCCCCACGGATAGTTGACTTCTGAATCTCTATTGTGTCCATAAACACTTCCCATACATATTGCAGTGCAACATATAGCATTAATTTGTTCTAGTTTATTCTAAATTTTTATTTTTTTAAAGTGTGCGCATCAATTTTGAGACTGCCTAAAATCTGTGGGCAGAAGTGCTGAAGGTTTGGCCTATAGTTGTTCTGTTCCCTTTGTTATTTTCCAACTTGCAGACTTGAGCAGGTCAACACAATGTCTTGCCTGGAATTTCCTTGCATTCTAAAATTAGGAGAAGGATCTAGGAAACAATAGCAAATCAAGTCTCTAAACCTCCTGCTCTGGCTTGAACCTTTGTTGTCACTTAGACTTCATTTAGACTTTCACCTACTTCCTTTCTCATTAAGCTGGTTTGCATGGGATAAACGGAATTTAAAAGAACTTATGCTGTTCAGTGTCAAAAGGACTTTTTTTTTTTTTTTTAAATCATCTGTTTTTACTTATTGTGGTCTTCTGTACTGCTTCGGGACAGCAGGGGTCTGAATTTCGCATCCCGGAGCAGTTCTCCCTGGGGCTGTGGGGTCTGTGGATGCACAACCACGGCCGCGCCGTGTTCTCCCGTCCCAGCGGCGCTTCCTGACCAAGACGTCTCTGGGAATCTGCAGAGGGTTAGATCTACAGCAGAGAAACTCCTCAAGCTGCATTATTGGACCTCGTCATCACCCCTGCCAGGGGTGGGCAGCTCGCTCTGTGTCTTGTGTGTCTCTTCAGGGTTAAGTTGTGCGTCAGTGTTCCGCTCCCACCCCTCCCTCTCTGGTCTGTGTTACTGGCCTTTGCAGTATTATGAGGGACAGTTGGGAGGGTCCCAGCACCTCGAACTGTACAGCTAGCCCTGTTTCAGAAAAAGCTGTTTCAGCAGCCTTTTATGCAGATGGGTTACTGGAAAGGCAACTGAGAAAGGAGGTTCAGGCCTCAGATTCTTGTTTGATGTTTCTCCGTGTGGTCTGTGTGAGCAACCCTGACACTCTGGACATGTTTTCTGATCTGTAAGTAATTCTGCAACTACATCTTCTGTTGCTCACTGTAACTCCCCCCCCGCCTCTGGCCTAGGACAGGCAGGGATGACTACATGGGTTAGAAGTGGCTTCTGTGCATCACTCCATAGAGGTGAGTTTGTTCCTGGCGTCGTCGCTGCTTTCCTTGGCATCACGGGTGGAGTTATGAGCTGCTTAAGATTTGGCCATCTAAACCTCCTGAACTGTTAGAGTGACTTAGAGCACTTGTCTGTACTGTGGCAGAGCCCAAGCAAGTAGTCAGAGGCACAGCGTGACTGCATGTGTGCGCAGCAGCCTCTGCCTTTGTCTGCTTGGGGGTTACAGGTAAACTACTCAAAACTGTCTCATTTTCTGCAGTGGCCCGGTGTTGTTTGTTTGTTATTCCCAGACACCCCAGGAAACGCAGCAAACAGCACAGCCCTTGTTTTCATCCTGTCCAGTATCCTATGTCCGACAATAGTTCGAAGCAGCTGCAGTTGATAATTATAGTACGTTGTGCTTCGTAAACTTGAGAGGCTGTTGATGTCTAGAAAGAGTAGGATTGGCAAGTCTTGTCGTTTAGCATTTATAGCTGATATAGCTGGCTCTGAGAACGAGGGCAGGTGTGAAGAGGTTGGATGTTAGACCTCCAGACGTCCCTTCCAGTCAACATCTCTATGACTGTGGCGTTTCTCGAAAGGAATTTTCTTCTCTAATTCTTTGTTACTTGGGCCCTACAGATAGTTTGCCCGCTCCTTTTCTGGTACAAGTGGCACAAACACTTTCCCTGTCGGTGTAGGGACGTGTCACCGGTGTTCTGACAGACTGTACAGTAGGTGTGTGTGACAGCAGGGACAGGACTTTGGTCTGACATCCCCTTATGTTTTTCCTTTGTTGGCATCCCTGGACCAGACTCTTAAACACTGTCGTGTCTGCTGGCAGGCTGCTTTATGGTGACATCCTCATGATCCTCGTAGTTGAATGCTTAAGATGAACAGTTATCTCAGGAAACGAGGAACATCCATTTTGCATCTTACAAGGGAGGGAGAAGAGCAGTGGGATCACAGAGGTGTTAAATGAATCATCAAGCTAAACTCATTAAATGCCTTTCTTCTTTCACCCTCATCTCTTGTAGACCTTAATCAGGGTTCTCATCTGTGCAGCGACTGCACGTTGAGGACCTCACAGGGATAGAAGTTATGAGAGAAGGCACTTGGCTCCAGGGATGGATGCTCAGGTCTGCCCTGAGCTGAGAAGACAGGTTTCCCACAGAACTGCTGCTGACCCAGTTTTATTCTCTCCTGTCCTAGCCTTTCTTCAGGCTTCTGAACCTGCGCAAGCTGGGTCTGAGTGACAATGAAATCCAGAGACTTCCCCCTGAGGTTGCCAACTTCATGCAGCTGGTGGAACTGGACATCTCCCGTAATGGTAAGGTCAAAGCGAATGGGGAGTGGGTGCCCCACAGCCCTGCTGTGCTCACGCCCCTGTTCTGGAAGGGCAGCACCTTCCACGGCCCTGCAGAGGGATCTCTGCTCAGGAGCTGTGAAAATAGGGTTGTCTTACTGTGTCTTAGGCTGTCACCAGTACCTGGCGTCCCATTTTCCACATGTTAAGCTCTTCTCGAGTCTCTTTTTTTTTCTTTCTTGTGTTTTTTTTTTTTTTTTTTCCAGACATTCCAGAAATTCCTGAAAGTATCAAATTCTGCAAATCCCTGGAAATCGCAGACTTCAGCGGGAATCCTCTCTCCAGGTGGGAAGACACATGCAACCCTTTTGTCCAGCTGAGAATGAGAGCTGGAGATTTTTGTTCTCCCTTCCTCTGGTCTTCATCTTCAATTGGCTTCCCCTGAGGTCAGATCACCCTGCCTGTGCCAGGACCTGCTCTCCTGGCAGGGGCAGCACTCGGCAGAGCTCCCCCTCCTGCGTGGCCTGTGGCTGGGGTTGATGAGCCTTTAGTCATGCTTTTGCCACTGGACTTTTGTCCTCTCAGAAGAAGTTGTGACTCCTTCCCCGCCCCTTCACCCTGGTGCACAAACCAGAATGGATGTGGACTGACTCATTGTACTACAGAGGAGTAAAGAAAGGCCTGCATGCCATCCTTTGCTCCCTGTCAGCCCTTTTTGTGCTCTCTCTCTTATTTATAATTTGAGATGGCTGACCTTTGAACTTTGTGCTTGACCTCATAGTGCCCAGACTGTGTCTGAGAATGGGCTCTCTGCCTCGGCTCTTCAGTCTTCTGTCTCTGCAGCCCTTAGTCCGTAATGTTTGGGGATCTAGGCGTGGCTCCTTTGCCCTGGTGAGCCATGGTTTCAGGTGTCTGCCAGGTCCGTCCATGCCCATCTGGCTCCAGAGCCCTTTGTGCTCGTCACCCTTTAAACAGCTGCAGCTCTCTGCTTCCCTCTCGTGGTGCCAGGCCACGGAGTGGGAGTCCCTGTGCCGTGGCACCCGCCAGCGCTGCCGCGCTGGAAGTTATTTGTCAAGAGTCTTCTTGTGGCCGAGAGCTGCAGGATGCGTGTGGGGAGCAGTGGGGCCGGCGGGCTCCGGGGTTTCTCCTTCTCAGGGTCTTCCCCTGTTCCGTTGCACCTCGGAGCCATTATGCTGATGGTGCTTGGTCCCTGGGAATGCTGCAGTGCAGAAGCACCCTTGGATGGGCGTTTGGATTACTTGGGAGCCCTCCCTGCTTTAAGTTTAAATGGTCACATGGCATAATTTAGTCTGGGATTAGCGTTTGAGCCAGGTTTGCACGCCTGGATGTGTAGTGACTTTGGTGAGGGGGTGTTGCTGTCTTGGAAACGGGGCATGTCCTGGATCAGGAGCCAGAGCTGGCTCCTGCTCTTCCCTTTCCACATGCTGATACCGGTGGGGATAAGTCTGGCTTCGGGGGGATTTGAGTGAGGAATTTAGGGCTCGTTTTCCGCACAGAATCAATGGTGTTTTGTTCTGTCATGCTTTCACAGGCTTCCAGAGGGCTTCACCCAGCTTCGGAGCCTGGGCCACTTGGCCCTGAACGATGTGTCCCTGCAGAGCCTCCCCGGCGACATTGGGAAGTGAGTCTGTCCCTCGGGACAGGGAGGAGGGTCGGGGGGGGGCGCTGGCGGGGCTCGGAGGGGAGGAGTGTGCCATCCCAGGTACAGCTTGCTTATTCTTGTTAAAAGCATTATTCTTGTTAAAGACAGCCTTTTTAAAAAGGTTCCTCTCCTGGTCTCAGCTGCTTCTCCCCTGTGGTATGTGGCCCAGGCCAGGCGTGCATCCAGGCTTCTCAAGTCCTCTATCTTTCCTTATTTTACAAGTGCCAATTTGCCCCTTTCCAAACAGGTGTGGTCTGTCCGATGATGTTGAAATGATTTATGCTGCTAGCAAATGGCCAAGGCAAGGCCCATGGGGCTTTGCCTGTGGGGTGCAGTGCCCTTCCCATGGGATTTGCCTTTCTACACGTGAGGGATTTTATCTTTTTGGGCAGACAGTCCTGTATGTGATACCGTGTTTCCTCGTCCTGAGTTTGGGCACAGTGTTGTCTCCCCGTGATTTTGCAATAAGCAGCCACCTTCATCAGAAGTCATTTAAGATCCTCCTTGTTTTTTGTTTTCCCCCGCCATCTCCATTCATGTGCACACACTCGTGTATGTGCATCTGTGCAGGTCATGAGGGGTGGTCCCAGGGGAAGGGATATGAGCATCTCCTTGTATCCCTGAAGCCCTATTCAGTGAATCTGGCTTTTCGCTCCCTTTTCTCTTGCAGTTTGGCAAACCTGGTGACTTTGGAGCTACGTGAGAACCTGCTAAAGACTCTCCCCACGTGAGTGTCTGTCTGGTGGCTTCAGGAGTCTCCTCTCTGATCATTCTTGCTGATTCCTCAAGGATTTTCTGTTTATTTAGTACAAGCTCTAGCATTTGGCTTGGGAGGGCTCAAGGCTTTGCGTAAATTAGCTGCATTTTGCTGGATTTCTGTAAACTGGGGTGAGGAGGGAGAGAGATGGTACAAGGCTTAAGAACAGGGAAGGATGTTCAGAGTCTGTACTCAGCCTCTCTGTCAGGACTGATTTGGAATAGACAGGGTTCGACCACAAAGCTGCGGAAATGGTAGAACCATTTTTCCTGGAGAGGTGGAGCGGATGACGGATTCTTTTGGAAAATGAGAGAACAATGTACTGATGTGGGTATAGGAAGAACTCTGTATATGCTGAAGTTCATGACCTGAAGAACAGCAGAATACGGCTGAAGATATATTTTACTTCTGACATCTCTGTTTTTGTGGGTGTCCCTTGTGATCTGGTTGTGGGAATGGGTGGGATAACTGGCTTTCCTGCAGCAGACAGAAAATAAGCCAGCAAGGGAAAAGAGGTAAGTGATGTTAAATGTTTCAGAGAGTCAGGGACAGAGATGAGTTCCTGGTGGAGGATCTGTTTGAAACAGCTGATGCTTTCAGGTAGATAGGATGTGGAGAACTAAAGACTCTGCACATTAATCTCTGTTTTGGAGCCCATGAGAGTTGTTTGAGTTTCCTAACCTACATCAGCTCTATCAGCCTGTCTTTTGCCTGCTATTCCATCCAGCTGATGATTCCTGCAGTGTTCCTTGAATGTATCTTGGAAGGGATTCTGCCTGACTTCTTTTCGGATAGCAGTGTGTTTTGGGGCCACGCAGACTCCTCAGTGAACGTGTGAAGCGTGCATCTATTGCCACCTTTCCTCAGTGCCCTCTTGCTGTTCACAGCAAGTATTCAGTTTGGCTGCCTGTACTTTCCCTCTTGCTCCTCTGCTTTACTCAAAAAAGAGGGCGAAGGGGGTGTCTGATGATGCAGTGTTCGAGGAGGGCTTTGAGGCTCTGTGCAGTTAGGGCTTTAGTCTTGCTGCTTCTGGTGGCCGTGCCTCCATGTGAGATACTGCTTTGATTCAGGCACACGCTCTTCCCAGTGGTTGTTTTCCTCTGGGACCTGCAAGTACAGGCGTTGTGTGACAGCAGTTACATCTGCTCGTAGAATTCATGTGTCAGCTTTGACCCAGAGGACAAGACGCTTTCAAAGAGGAGCTGGTCAGCACGCAGGCCCCCTCCCCGTCTGGGGGTTGCAGCATGGGGGCACAGTTCACATGAACACCGTCACCTTGTCCCTGGTGCCGGAGTGCACAGGAGTTGTCAGCACTAACACCCCTGCAGAGGGGCGGTGTTGGGAGACCCTCACGTGCAGTGTAGCCTCAGGGGGAAGGTGAGCCCCAGAGCTCGTGCCAGGCTGAGAACAGGCAAGCAGGAGGGGTTTGGGTCCTGGGGGTGGGACCCCTGCTGCCTGTTCCACATGTCCTTTGCATCCTGCAGGCAGGTGCCACCCCTGCCATGCGCCATTTAAACAAAGGGCCAGTAGCTCCATCCAAAGTTGGGCCTTCAGACCGCAGTGAAGAACCGTCCTGGTGGCTTTTCACCATCTGGGAACCAGCAAGTATCTAGAGTTGGAGAGTTCAGTCCATAACCAGACCCATACCCCTTCTGGGGAGACCCCGTGCCCAGAGCTCCCTTGTTTCCCCACATCAGATTTGTGCGCCAGCAAGATACTTGTAACATGCTGTGAGCTTTTCTCTGAAAGATAAATCCAGGCTTGATGCTCATTCTGCAGTGCAATTCCAGCTTCTTTTCATCTCTCCCCAATTCCCCAAATTCTACTTTTGGATGATTTCCAAAAGTAGAAGGAGGATCTTGAATATCTAAAGCAATTTTCATCAGATCTGTCAGTCAAACATGAGATCAAAATCAATGGCCAAAGAAATTACAGTGGTACTGTCAGGTACTCTACCCAGGTCTGCAGCTCTTGTACTTAGCCTGGTTGCAAATTGTGCCCAAGAATGGCTCTAAACAAGTCCAGGTGATCTTGCCAAAGAGAGAATGACTTACCAAAATGGCTGATGCTTTCAGTTTTCAAGGTTCCCGAGCCCAGCATGGAGATGGGCTTCAATACCATGAATTTGTGACTGCGTAATGCGTCGGTGTCCTTTTGACTTCTGTTGCTGCTGTTGAGCTCCTTAAAAGATCCAGCTTGCAGTGACCTTGAGTCGTGACAATTGAATTTCTTTGGTTAATCTTCTGCTGTCAACTGAGTTCTAAACAGTTTGTCTTGTGCAGCAGATGATCTCTGCTCATCTCTCCCACCCAGGCAGTTCTCAGCTTGGCAGTGACCTGTGAGGGGTAGCTCTTGTCCAGGTGTTCTCATGGGAGAGTGGAGACATCTGTCCCCAGGCATTTTGCAACATGGACTCCACAGCTCACTTGTCCCTGTTTTGGGAATTAAAACTGTGAAGGGACAGTCAAGGCTGCTTCACCCTTCAAAGAGCAGCCGTGGAGTCATGGTGAGAGACTGCTGCACAGCAGGATCCTTTCAGTGATCCTGTTGGTAAACCTTTGCTTGACTTAATGGAATATCTCAAAATCCACCACTGTATAAGGCATGAACTTGCTTTTCCTGTGTAGCCCAAATATTTTTATAGCCTGGCCTGGGCAAGACAGATCTCTTTTATTGCTTTCTCACAGATCTGCAGCCCCCAACTTCCTCAGTTTGGATGGCGCTGAGTGGTATAGCTCTTGTTTCCAGAGAAATGCAGTGATTTCTGTGTTAGGCCAATTTCTTGAACTGAAGAGCCTCCCAGCTGGGGGAGTGGGCAGGGCTGAGGTGGCAGCTCTGCCCTTGTGCAAGGGGAGAGGCAGCAGCCCCTGTCTAGGGAGGTGGAAGCTGGAGTTGGTGGCTCGGGCTGAGTGGAGGCCACGGGAACAGCCGTGCTGTGCCTGGGGAACCAGGTCCGGGTTTGGCGGGTTGTAGGCTGCAGCCGTGGTGTGTTTGGGTACTCGGGGCATGCCCTCGGACCACCAGTCTTGACAGGCTTTGGCTCCCATGAAGGCTTCTCGTATCTTGCCTAGTGAGCTTCTTGTCTGTACGTCTTGACTGCTCTGGAGACATCGTGCCAGTGTTGTCCTTCCCTTTCTCTTAAGTAGCGTGGGCATCCCAGTCAGGGAAACCGAGGCTATTGAATTTGTCATTCCTGCCTCTCTCTGCAGCTCCACTTGCCCCCCAGTATGTATTGTCCTCTGCTGACCCTCTCCTGCTACCTGTTAGTCTGTGCCCAGGTCCCCATCCTTGCCACAGAAACGGGCAGCAGTGTTAAGGTGTGGCTTCTCATCTATCATGTTTCGCTCAGAAGAGTGTGTTATGGTGGGAGGGGGAGAAGGCGAATTGGTGCTAGTGGGAACTGGCTGCTCTGAGACTGCTGGTGCTGCCGAACCCAGTTCCCTCGTGCAGGTGGTCTGGCTGGGGGAAGGGGACCAACTCCCCTAGGCTGCTTGGTCAGAGGGATGTGGAGAAGGTCAGGATTGCCCCACCTGCTTGAGGAGTTACTAAAAATTACATAATGTGTTTGGTGTTCCTTTTTTTTTTTTTTTTTTTTTTTTTTTCTCCCCCTCTCTACTCCCTGTATCTTGCAGTTCGCTCTCCTTCCTTGTCAAGTTAGAGCAGTTGGATCTTGGTGGCAATGACCTGGAAGTACTGGTAGGTGAGGGATGGGGGGGAATACGGGTGGTTGGTAGGGGCAGAACCCTGAACCTCTGTGCAAGCAAGTGGGTGTTCATCTGAAACACAAAGAAACAGATGTGCAGGTTGTTTGGGAAGATTCTTTCTTGCCCACCATGGCCTGGGCATTGTTCCCAGCCTAGAGTTCTCCTCACGTGTTGGCCCATCTGTCTCGTGTCCTGCAGCCCATCTTGCTCTGCTCTTTCCAAGCGCTTTTGCTCTGGGATGTTGGTTCTTGCTCTCTCTCTGCCTCAGGATCTTTCCTTTCCAATGAGACTCCCTGGTACTTCCTTGCTCTTCCGTGTTGCCCTGCCCCAGGCTGTTTTTCTGCTAGGCCAACTTTCTGCCTTTCTCCTTTCTGATTTAACGTCCGTACTGCCAAGTGCAGAACCGTTGGACCGTTCCCCGTTGTTCCCGGCGGCGGAGCATGGGGTGTGTTCCCCCCACACTGGGGTGCCCGTGCAGAGGGCTCAGCCTGAGCATGCTGGGGGCCAGCCCACGGTCTCGGAATTCAACTTATCTTGGCATTCAGGGACATCCAGTGATCTTTAATTTTGTAGCTCTGGATTAAGCCATTCCTGATCCTGCTCTTAACGTTCTGGAATGTTTTTTTGGCAGAAACCCATCTAAACTGGGAGGCAGAGGAGTTTGTGCAGCTTGCTATGTGCAGGGCTGCAGCTTACGTGAGAGAAGGGCTGTGGTGACACTGGGACCACACTCCAGTGGTGCTTTAACTCCAAACCCAGACGCCAGTCAGTGTGTGTGGTGTTTGTGGAGTGCTGCTCTGAGCGTGTGTTTGGTTTTGTGTCTGAGAGGAGGAAGAGGAGAAAGATTTGTTTCTTCCAAGGCCAGAATTTCCAACCCCCTGTTTATTTCTTGCTACCAGACAGTCCTTGCTGTTCTCTTCCATATTTCCTGTGGGGATCTGCAGCCAGTGTGCCATCCCAGACATTTCCAAACAAATGTGCTGCTGTATTGTGGCACGCCAACTCGTTAGCTTCATAGACATCTGCTGAGCGGTTCTAGGTGTGAAAGCAACACCAGTGTCTAGCTCGCAGAGGTGATTTGTAGCATCCTAGAGCAGCTTCTCCCCTGCGGAAGGGACTGATGCTGTTACTGTGCTGCTCTGTTACAGCCGGACACTCTGGGAGCGCTCCCGAACCTGCGTGAGCTTTGGCTAGACCGGAACCAGCTCTCAGCCCTGCCCCCCGTGAGTACCTGTTCAGGAGCCCTGACCCCGCTCTGCTCCCTTCCCCGGCTGCCCCTCAAGCCACAGTGTCTCCTCTCTGACCCCAGGAGCTGGGCAATCTCCGCCGCCTGGTCTGTCTGGATGTGTCGGAGAACAAGCTGGAGCAGTTGCCCAACGAGGTCAGTGGGCTGGTAGCTCTGACGGACTTGCTGCTGTCACAGAACCTGTTGGAGTGCATCCCGGAGGGAATCGGTGAGTGCTGCGGGGGGCAGCGCAGGGGCTCCCTGCGGGCCGTGCCGCTGGCGGGGGGACGGGTGGGGGAGCTGGGCGGCGCGGGCAGGCACCGAGCGCCACAGCAGGAGAAGGTGCTGCTGAGCAGAACTCTGCGGGATGGGTTCAGGTCCTCACTCTGCACTGCGTGGGGGAAACCTGCGAGCGAGCCTGTGGGCAGGGAGATGGTGCCTGCACTGCGGGGTTACCCGATCCCTGGTGGCAGGCCTTTGAGCCCGAGAAGCAGAACAGCGTCGGGATCCCCAGCGTAGCTCACACCTCGCTTGTTGCCCTGGCCAGGTCAGCTGAAGCAGCTCTCCATCCTCAAGGTGGACCAGAACCGGCTGACAGAGGTGACAGAGTCAATTGGGGACTGTGAAAATCTGTCAGAACTCATCCTGACGGAGAACATGCTGACGGTAAGTACAGCAGCAACCACGCTGCCTCACCAGTGCTGGTCACTTTAGCCACGTGCCAGGGATCTTTTCCCATCTTTTGGCCTCTGAGCTGTATTTCTGAGTGTGCTCCAGCTGCTCTGATGCAGAGTTTCACCTGGCGCACAGGCTTTTGAGAAGGCCCTGGTGGAAGCTGCTTTCTCTCACTCTTTGAAGAATTCTCTAGGACAGCTGGCATGCCTGTGCTAGGACAGCCAGTCCTGCAGCCCATCAATCTGATGGGAGCAGGACTAGGTCAAAAGCTGCCTTTGGTGAGGGGCCGTGGAATAGTGTAATTTAAAATGGTTCTGCTCCACACTCCTTATGATTTGATTGCTAAAACACAAGTATTGGGAAGGTACAGATAAACAGGAGAAAATCTGGTAGTGTTCTGAGTGTGCTGTGCTGAGGTGAAGGCTTGGCAGGTAACAGCCTGTGAACCTGAGGGAAAATGTGTCCCAGAGCTGTAGTGAGAACTTCATCGAAAATGTGTCTGTCAGGACAGAAGGCAGGTGTTTTGTTCCCCGGATAGAGAGCTTTATGTCTTCATACCTTTCTTCAGCTGCTCTTATCTCTTGTGACTACTGAACCGTCTCCTTCCCAGGCCTTGCCAAAGTCCCTTGGCAAGCTGGCCAAGCTGACAAACCTGAACGTGGACCGGAACCGGCTAACGTCCCTCCCAGCCGAGATCGGGGGCTGTGGCAACCTGAACGTGCTGTCCTTGCGAGACAACCGCCTGGCCCTCCTGCCGCCAGAGCTGGCCAACACCACAGAGCTGCACGTCCTGGATGTGGCAGGGAACAGGTCAGCAGCAGGAGGGGGGACCTGGCTTGTAGGCACCTTCCGAGGGGAAGCAGCAGCATGGGCTGGGCCCTGGCATGTTTTGGGAAATGTGGAGAAGCCCAGACTGGCTGCTCGGGCCGTGTGTCCCCAAGCTTTGCCTCTTAACCCTTCACCATGTTACCTGAGGACAGGGCAGAGCTGGCGCAGAAGCCTGGGGGCCATTTGCCATGTGTGATAGAACAATGTCCGCCATGATCCCTCCTGCAGGTTTTGTAGTTTTGTTATCAGTCCTGAAGTGGTTGGTGCCGAAGCCTTGTTTATGGTGTGCACAACCCACAGTGTGCAGGTATCTGTGATCTGAAAGAGCAGCAGGTTTTAGCTGCAGTTCTGTTAGCCAAGGCTGGGATTTTCTGTAGCAGTTGGAAGCCGACCAGAGGTTCTGTGTGGAATGCTTTCTGTGTGCTGGTCAGGGAAAGCATCACTTTTCTGTCTCAGACCCCCCCCAAGGTTCACAGTTTCCACGCTGTTGGTGGGGGTTGCCCTGTGCTACAGCCGGGTGCAGGTGGGTTGCTGAGTCCCACGTGTGGCCGTGGCAGAGCCCTGCACAGCCTGGGGCAGCTGCTGTGGTGTCAGAGTGGGGGATCCCACGGCAGCTTGGCTGCACTGGGGCGGTCTGGAGCAGCACTGACGTTCTTTCCTTACCAAGTCAGTTTAACCAGCAGTTCTTTTCTTTTGCAGACTGCAGAACTTGCCATTTGCTTTGACAAATCTTAACCTGAAAGCCCTGTGGCTGGCAGAAAATCAGTCCCAGCCCATGCTGAAATTCCAAACAGAGGATGATGAAAAGACAGGAGAAAAAGTTCTCACTTGTTACCTGCTTCCGCAGCAGCCCTCTCCCAGCCTAGGTAAGAGCCTGCTTTCTGAGTGCTCTGAGCACCGTGCACTCCGGAGGGGGCTGCGGGGAAGAGGCGTCGAGCCTTCCCCTCTGCTTGGTCACACTGTTCATCATGAGTGTGATACCTGCAGCAGACTCAGGCTCCTGAACGGCTGGTGGCCACTTTCCAAGGCAGAGATTGTTAAAACTGGGAAATTGCTTCTCTGCTGGGTGATAAAGAAGCTCCAGCCTAGTCTTCAAGTCTTCTGCCTTGATCTATTGACTGAGTAGTTCATTGTCCATGAGGACAATGTCGTGACAATATTCTGGTGTCAGTACTTGACTCGTGCCTTAGTCCTACCTTTTTCCTTAGTTCTTGGGTAAGGAGTGCTAGAGCTGAGCCTGCAGGTCCTTCTGTAGAGCTGCTCTAGGTCTGGTGGGAGACGTACCAGAGGTGACAAGATCTGGAGGCCACATCCTTTGTCCTCGAGGCCTCCGTGATTTGATGCCATGAGCAGATACAACACAAGTGCCCTAACGGGTTCAGAACTGTCTCTCCCTCAAGCCTGCAGCCCTGCTCGTTCAGTAAGTAGCTCGCACTGTGTTATCTTTCTTCCCAGAGAATCTTTTGCAGAACAGTGTGGATGACAGCTGGACAGACACCAACTTAAACAGAGTCAGTGTGATTCAGTTCCTGGATGAACCCAAAGTAGACGATGATGATGAGTCTGGAGCCGAAAGACGGGTAAGAAGAACAGTTTCTCGAGGCTTTTTACCTCCCTGTGGAAACGTAGGCACAAGCTGAACTTTTTTCCTAAGCTGAGGAGCCCTTATGGCGTCCACGTTTCACCCTGTAATGCTGCTGCAGACATGATGCTCCTTGGTGCCCCGAGGAGACAGGCAGGTGTGAAAGAGAATTCCCGGCAGTGTGAGCAGACGCAGGTTGTGACGCTGCGGGGTGGGAGTTGAGCTGTGAGCGCCCGCCTGCCCCGCCCGGGTCCGAGACCCCTGAGCCGGGCATCCCCACCCGCTGGGGCCCGTGCTCTGGAGCGTCCTGGCAGGCAGCCAGCCTCAAAAACTGCCGAAGATCATTTTGCTTTTGTTGCAGGTGCAAAGGGCAGGATAAAAGTTTCAGTTTTCAGCAAGTACTCTGTTGGTTTATATCTTCTGCAGGATTTTTTTTCCTTTTTATCTTGTGGAGAGAGATTCTTTTGAGATCTGAATCCTCCTGATAAATTGTATTTGCATCTGTCCTTGCAGCACGTGTATGCTGCTGGTGTTTGGAGGTTTTGTGGGGGGTTTTGATAGTTTTTAACATTGTTGTTAATTTTAGAATACTGTTTTTCCTGAGTCCTAGCTGGCATGGAGCTAGCTCAGTATCACCAGTTCAGGTAGCAAGACAGGCCTGTCAGGCGTGTTACCGGACGCCAGAGGGATTAAGAAGATATCCCACCCCTGTGTTCCTTTGGGGGTTTCTGTGTTGACGCTTTCCCATTCACTAAGTCTGAAGAACGATTTGAAACTTCCCGTCCCTGCGGTTCCTCCCAGTCCCTCCACCAGATGGAGAGCAGGATCCCGCCTGAGAGCGGACTCTGAGCAGTGGTACCTGCCTCCCGTTCCCTCCTCCTCCCCGCTGCGGCTGTAGTAGCTGTAGGGAGCAGAGGCCCGGGTCAGACCCTGCAGGGTGAGCTCTGGGGGCCACCGGCTGGCTCCAGCACTCCGATAAAACGTGTTACCCGAGGCGGGGCGGCGTGGCAGGTGCTGCTCTGCTGCTGAGCCCCCGGCTCTGGATGTTTTCTGTGGCAGGGCTTGCAGCGCAGAGCCACCCCCCATCCCAGCGAGCTGAAGGTGATGAAGAAGGTGATTGAAGTTCGGCGCAGTGAGGTGCACGCTGCAAAGCCTGACCCGGACCTGAACTCTCCGAGCTCAGAAGTGAGTCCTGTTCCCTAGGAGACGGGTGACTGCCGTGGACTCGGGCAGTGGGGAGGCAGCGTGTGTGAGCCGGGCAGAGAGAACCTGGGGAAAAGATTGGGAGGGACTAAGCATGGGTTGCCTGGATTCCAGGGGTTGGAATCTGCCGTGGGATGTCAGCTGGGGCCACTGGGACAGGGCGAGAGATGCAGCCAGAGCAGAGGACTGTGTGCAGTGGTGCAGGGAGAGGAGGAGAAGGCTCTGATATTCCCAGTAAAGGATGGTGGGAACAGAGTGCTTGGAGGAGGCGTCTTGCTGCCCAGGTGTGATCCTGGGAATGAATGACCGCACAGATGGAGGGGCAGGGTGAGACGCAGCAGTCAAAGTCAGGGGAGCCAGAGGAAAAAGCTGTTTCTGTTGGTACTGGATCGTACCCCACCTCACAGCAGCCATGCTGCCTCGCTCCATCTGCTGCTTTGGCTTCCCTCTGACTTTTACAATCCTCTCGCCAGGAGAAGAGGCTGAGCACCATGTCAAACCGCAGCGAGGACTCCCACCTTTCCAACAGCACGGCCTCTGCCGACTGCAGGGGAGAGGAGCAGGGAGAGGATGGGGAGAGGGGCTGGGCAAATGGGCAGGTGCCCGACATGCACGAGCTGGAGAAGGAGGCGAAGCCCCGAGCTGAAGAGGAGCATAAGGAGGCTGCTGACCAGGAGGAGGAGGATGTGGAAGTGGAATACAGTGAGGTAGGAGCCTAGGAACTGCAGCAGGGTCATGATAAAAAGGCTTGAAAGTTTCAGAGGAAATGGTAAACAGATGTGCAATGTGTGATTTGGGCATTGCCAGCGGCCAGTACAGGCTGTGGAAGCCAAGTTCAAGTAGAGATTCAGGCAGCCGGGGGGGCCGGGTCCGTGGGGAGCTGGGAAGGACAGTGGGGG